TCGCTAGTGGAGGGGGAGAGATTCTAGGGGCTCGTCACCCTGACTTCTGCCCCTGCCCCTTCGGGGGTCCGTCCACACTCTCCCTCTGTACGTCCGTCTGTCCTGGATGCCCCTTTTCTGGGAACGCCCCCAACCCAAGTCTGGCCTGATGTGACCCCCCCCTTCCCCAGGATGCATTGCAAAGCCTTCCCCAGCCCCCACTTCGTGTCCCTTCTTGGTGATTTCCCACAGTTCGGGGTGTCTCCCCTGGGGGTGCAGGCACGAGGGGGCGGGGCATTGTGCACTAACCTGCCTAGATGTGTAGCAGCGTGTGCGTGCGTGCAGGAGCCGTGCGGGCTGGAGCAAGGCCCAGGCAGAGCACTGCTCTGCTGCGGGAGGGGGGTGGAGCTGGTGGTGGTATGAGAAGGCTTGGAGGAATGTGATTTTTTTTTTCAACTGGCCTCTGGCTGTACCACCTTTCCGACCAGACCCAGTTCTGACCGTGCCAAGCTCTGAGCACAGGGATCTCCGACTGTAATAGGCTCCAACTGTTGCAGGCCCCACTTGTAGCAGTTCTGACTGATTTGAGTTCCAGTTGTGAAAGGGCCTGGTTGTACCAGCCCCTGACTGTAACAGCTTTAGTCTGGGGTCGGTTTCAACGATTGTACCAGGCTCTGGTGGCTGATCTTTGTAATGGACTCTGACTGTAGCAGTTTTGTATGTAACCAGCTCTAGCTGTACTGGTTTGTAATGGGCACTGTTAAGTAGTGGGCTCCGGGTGTTATGGACTCCAGATGGTGTAGCATTACGGCCGTCAACACTCTGCCTGTATTGGGCACTAGAAGGCTAAGCTCTGACGGTGACAGAGCATGTAGTAGATGTTGCCTGTATTGGCTGTGTAACTGGTCCTGTCAGAAACAGGCTGGGTCTGAGTGTACCAGCTCTGTAGCTGCTGCGTTCCAGCTGTCCTGCCCATGGACCTGTCTCTGACTGTACCAGTGACACACCGGGCTCCGGATGTAACAACACTGGGCCAGGCTCTGGCTCCACCAGGCTTCGGCTGCACTGCTAACGTACCAGGCTCTTGCCTCTGACTGTACTGCTGATGCATTGGGCTCTGTCGGGCTGTAGCAGCTGTATATCCACAGGGCTGGGGCTCTAGCGGAGTGACTGACAGCCAATCCCAGCCTTACCAATAAAATCTGTAGAGGAAGCTGCCGTCTGTGCCTGGCCGTGTGTGACAAAGGGGCTGAGCCCAGATGTGACTGGGGCGGGCAGGGGAGAATCCCATGAACCCTGGCTCTGCCCCCACCCCCATCTCCCTGCCAGGACTCCCTGCAGCACGGCACCCCCTTGCGCCTGTGGGGAAAGCTCCTCCCCCATTTAGCCAGAGCCTCAGAAGCCTGGTGGGGAGGGGGCACGCATGCCTGGCAGG